TTTTTTTTTTTTTTTTTTTTTGGATAAATGCGATTTGAACCACATGAGATAGGGATAGATAACAAAAAAATTGCTGAATTGTTATGGAAACTGACTTCAATATTGAAGCTGTGCTTCAATGCAGAAATTTGTTAGAAAATTTTAGTTCACAATTTTAGCTGTATGCAGCTTTATATCAAGTGTAAAATGCAGATTTATATCGAGAGCTTCAATGCAGACATTTGTTAAAAAGTTTTATTTATTTTTTAGCTGTATGCAGCAATATATCAAGAGGAAGATGCTGAGAACCTGGGGCTAAACCCTGGTAGCAGACTTATCACTAGTCTCAAGCAGAGAATTATTGCCCTGGCAACCAATAGTGGTGTCATAGCAACGGTGCAGTCTGCAGCACAGTCAGCCCTGCAGAATGGTTGGTCATTATTACTGCCAACTGCAGAAGAGAGGGCTAGGACATTGAGCACACTCTTGCCCACAGGAGGTAAGAGTCATCTTGAATTGACATACATTCAATTGACTTTGTAGATCAGTCCAGATTTACTGAATGACACACCTCCTCGAGCAGCTACGGTTGATTAACTCATTGTTTTGAGTGTGACAGATTCACACGAAAGTTAATCATCCCCTACCTGCTTGATGAGGCGTGTCATTCAGTTAATCTGATTGGATTCAGCAAGAGCCCTGGCAGGGTAGGATCAATCTACATAGAACAGTAATTTAATTGGAAATGCACCCTATGAGTTAAAGCTTAAAATTCATATGAACTTGGAGATAATGCTGTCTTTAATACATAACTTGCAGGATCCAGAGACATGGCAGTATTAAGTCCTGGTCAGCGATTCATGACAGATCTATTGGTCAGCAGCCTAATGGCCGATGGTGGACTAGAGATGGCCCTCAGGACAGCCATTAAGAAGGAGAAAGAGGGGATCGAGGAGAAAACAGTAAGTTCCTTAAGACTGGATGATATAAAATGTAATGTTAGTAATCAGACTTATTATAAGCATAATGAAATTATTTTGTGACTGTCGAAAGTTTGAGTCCCATTTTATCATCATTAGCGTATATTTAAAGAAGCTTTGAATTTGGTTTGTCTAAAATCTACTGCTTGAATTTTTAAAATCTGCAATAGTGTATGAAATGTTTAGTGAAATTTGATATTTTACTGAGTCATACTTTCTTTTAGGAAAAGGACACAGAAAAAGAACCAGACGACATGGACAAAATTGGACAGGCAACCAACATGTTAAAGTCAGAAGAAGCTCTTCTAGAGGAGGAGGCACAGAAGTGCCAAGATATCCAAGTAGATGGCGATTCATCCATACCTTTGCTACAATTAGTGCAGCAGCTTTTGAGGTAGTGATATATTTTACTTGTTTTAAGACAAAGATTTGTTTAAATACTGATACATTGAGAAATGAGAAAGGGACTGATAAACAAGATGTTATAACTGTAATGTTACAGAAAGGACAATATGATCTTCTTGTTTCTAAAGGAATAATTTAAAATGTCACTTAAATGAATATCTGTTTCATAGAATTTGACCTGATTTTATGAATTTATTTTCCTTTTCCATCAGAAATGCCTCTACTCAGATGCTTTCGAGACTGAATGAGCTGTCTCAGGACCCTCAGGTGAAAACAGAAGCTTTGGACCTTTCAGACAACATTGCTTCCATCAACTTACTGCTCCAGTTTCAAAGACTGCTCATGGCAAAGATTTTCCCGAGGGAGGAGTTCAAAGAGAAGAAGGGGTCAATGGAGATAGGTCAGTAAATACCATTTACTCAGCATTCATGCATGCACATACACATATATAATCATGCATGTCAGCTTTTGTTGATGTATACTGGTATAAAAAAGACATGAAAGTAGTTGCTAAATTAAAATTGAGAAGTGATTTGGCATCTTATTAGGTCACTTTTCCACAGTAAGTAGAAAGAGTTGTTTGTAGTTTTCTTAAAATTCATTATAAGTAATTCAAATTCTGTAATGCCCATCTTTTTTAACTGTCTTCTCAAAATAAGTAATTTAATTGAGTTCAATTATCTTTGCTGCAGTTGACCATGAATCTCTTTATAATTCCAAGAAATCATTTTGTAATGACAATATCCATTTATTTAGTAAAAAATTGAACTTCACATGCCTTTCAGCACTACTTACATAAAAACATTTTCACATTAATTACCACAAAAACATCACATTTGAATTTAAAGTTAATATTATCATTAATTGACCCATTATAGGATTAACCATGATTGATGAAATGGCTACTGATTATGCCAACTGCAGATCATAGCAGCCGTCTGCCCCCATCCTGTATTTTTCTGTTCGTCCACTTTTGTCCCACTTCACTTTAATGTGACTGACCTCTGTGTCCTGGCCATTCAGGCCAAATAACTGGTCCACCACCTTCCCCTGTCCAGGGGGGTCACCATCCTGAAAGGTGATAAAAAATGGAACACTGAGATACTTTTGATTTTAAGAAAGCATTTAAAATCTTTGTGGAAAGGTTTGGATACCCCTTTATGCATGTGAAAAAAAACATTTTGATAGAAAGTAAAATGTAAGGTGACTTAAATTTTTGAGATTCTCATTTGAAAATGTTTGGCAAAGTGAATGTCATTAGATATGAAAAAAGTAAGAACTACACAGTTTTAGGGGGAGAGGTTGATACAACTGTTTACATAACTGAGTTTAATCTCAGGTTCTTAACCTTGTTTCACTTATTAAACAATGTGTATGATGAAATGAAATTTCCCATCCTCTCACCTCATTGCCATAGCGCCAGTCTCGTCCTCTTTTCACTTTTGTGCCTGGCACCATTTTCTTTGCCATTCCTTCATCTGCATGGAACAGAATATAGTTGACAAAAATATTTAAATGACAGAACTGTATATGGATAAGTAGGAGTAAATATTAATATAGATAGGACAGTGGCTGCTTGTGGATAAATGTAACTTTAAAATATTAACACAGGAAATTACTTTTCTGTTTGATTTTCAGTTTTATTATTCATTTTTCACCCAGGTAAACCAACTCGTATTTCAAGAATTTACTTCTACTATGACTCTGTTAAAAAAAAATTTGCTTCAAATATGGATAACATTACGTGAGTGGCTACTGTAATAAAAATTTCACTTAATAGATCTAGTTAGCTGCTCTTACATTGCTTCTGTGTCTTGCCCCCTTGTTTTGGTTTAAGGGTTTCGACTTGTAATGTCCCCAGTAGAGGTTTGGCCGCAGGATTAAAGTGGAAGGACAGTTGCTGAGGGATGATGGGTATCGGGACCCTGTCCAGGGCCTCCAAACGAGCCTTGATAGAAGGCTGCATGTGAACCAGCTCAGTATTACTGCCATGGTCAAGCACGGCTCCTGTGATCTCTGTACTGCTCCTGAGGTCGTATTCCCGTCCTTGGATGGCCTTTTGAAAGCTGGTGCCTTTTCCTTGTCTCTCATTCAGTTTGAATGCTTTGTCGATCTCTGCTATTAACCTGCGTTCCTCGTCTTCCAAGGTTTTGAACATGCTCAGCTTGGTTTCCTGTATCTGCGCCTTCACTTGGTCTATGTTTCTTGCTGCCAGGCGTGCATCATAACTCATAGAGAGTTGCTGTATGTCTACCAGTTTGTTTTGGAGTTTCCCCACCAAGGTTAAGGCCTGTCCTCTATACTGCTGCACCAGAGACTGCAGCTTGATTTTCTTGTGTCCACTATGGTCTTCCTCCAGACAATTTTCACATACAGGTGACTTGCACTGGTAACAGTAGAACTGTACTGTTTGGTCAGGGTGAATGATGCAGGCATCTCCTCTGTTATGAGATGTGCCATTGTGTAGGATATTTCCTTGGATGGTCGCAGAGCTGAGGTTATTAAGTGCTCGTACGTCATGCGAGATTGTGAGTGAAGTCTGGTTGTGCATGTCAGCGCAGTCTGCACATAAAAACTCACGACACTGCAGGCATCTTGCCACAGCCGGCTCCTCTTTCTCTTGGTGCTTGCAGAAATCACACAGGTGGTCCATCTCACTGGGATGCCGAGACTGAATGATGTTAGCCAAGAAGAGATTGTCTGGAAATTCCATTGCTCCCCCTGGTGGGAGGATTGTGTCTGCCTTGCATTCCTTCTCCAGACAGAGAAACCTCTCCCCTTCTCCTTTGTCTGCTGTTTTATCCAGCAGACATTGAGCACAGAATGTATGGAGACATGGAAGAAACTTTGGCTCCTTTAATTCTTCCTTGCACACAGAACATATTAGCAGTTTATCTGTTACATTTCCTATGTCAGTAACAAAACCTCCAGCTCTGCTTGCTGTGCCTGCTTTTGCTGAGTATGTAGCCATCTTCGAAAGTGGTCTTGTTAAAGTCAGGCAGTCAGACTTCAGTCTTTTCCCTTATCGTGACCAACATTAGAAATGCCCACATTAGATACAGGTAGTCTTTTCATAATTCTGTTTAAATTTGTATTCTCCTCCTAAAGTTTATCATATAAATTTAAAATATGTTGAAGTACACGTATAGGTTATGTCTCATAGAGCTCTCTACCTGCCAAAGTGAAGTAACCTGAATGCTTGGTGCTCTATTATAAGTTAACATGCTGTTTGGACCTATTTGTGTACCTGCACCATGATCAACACAAATGTATTGTGAGTTCTCATTGTTAAATCACATAGCACACACAATGGGAAATAGGTCATAGATTTGTGGCAATTCCAAGCTTGGGAGAAGGATTGAAAATTAAAAAGGCTTTGACCTATTTACACTTGAGGGCATGCATCTACACTGATGTTGATTATATTATTAATATCTGTTGCAGCATTGAGTAACTATTTTTGAAATCAACAGTTTGTGTATATTGATAATGATGGTCATATATTGTTAATTTTTCAATAACATATCAATATACATTACATATCCATGTTTTTATTCATATTCACTGTGTAATCTTTCTTTCAGCTTTTTATTTTTTTTCTCTTTCTCTGAAGTTTGTTAGGTTTTGTCTACTTTTTTAAATATAAAATACCTTTCTAGCTAACAGTGTGAGGTGTTATATTTAAAACATTCTGAGGACTTTTTAACTTGTCTTTTCACAGATGCAGAGCTGCTTGGTGCTGGGTCACTACTGAGGAAATATGTTCATCTCTTGGTGGCTCATGTTGCAGACATACTCCCTCTGGCGGCTAGTTTGGCAGGATATTCTAGCAAATATTTTTCATTGGTTGCCAAGGTGATAAGTGCTGATGTCACAGGTAGGTTGCAAAAGTATTAGCTTTGTCACTAGACACTTTCTGAATCATGGACTTTTTTTTTGCAGCAGATAATTGTATCAAGTTTCACTCCTTACAAAATCTTCAAACCAAGGTTTTTCATTATGTGAATTATCAGCTTCTTTGATAAGTTTTTCATAAAAAATGTGTGAAAAAATTGGATCTTTGCGATGATTCATTATCCTCAAGTCTGTATTAAGTAAGCAAGACAGCAACGTTAACACTGGCCTTATGTCAAATGTCAGTTTATTGTAGCCAGGCCAGTAAAATACTTTTTGGGCAGTGTATTCTTAGACCCTGGTTGCCCAGATTGCCAGTACACTTTAATGTGCTTTGGCTTGCAAAGTATAATAATAATCACCACTTTCCTCCAGGTGTGCTTTTGCCAGAGCTAATCACCAGTGCAGTGTTACTCCAGACAATCTCCCCAGCAGTGATCAAGGCTTCAGGTTGTATCCCACTGCTAGAGGCACTACTGCCCATACTAGACAAATTTAACAGGCTGGCTCCTGGTTTAGAGAAAGATGACAAGGAGGATATGGCATGGCCTGGAATAATGGGTAAGATTTGGTTCCTGTTTCCCAAACAATCTGAATTTTTGGGATTGCTTTAGACTACTGAAATGGAAAAGCTGACATTGAAGAGTTGACTTTGGGATAATGGTTTAATTGTTTTCATGCTGTCTAAATATGTATGGAATAAAATTAATAACTTGTAAAGAAATCCCAACCAAGCCAAAGTATGCATTAGAATGGATTGAAGCTAGGAAGCTGATTAAAATATAATGTTGATTCTCAAGATATTTGTAAGAAAAATGTTCTCCTTTTTAGCCACTTCTGTGGAAAAGCAGATACAGCACCACCTAGAGGATGTTCCCGTAGTTAGAAAATCTGATTTAGAAAACCATAATAAAGATGGCGGCCTGTGGATTGTGATCCATGGCAAAGTTTATGATGTCCAGGACTTTAAGGCTCAGGCACAGTGTGGAGAGGAGATCCTGATGCAGTATGCAGGTATGAATATGCTTTCCACCAAGGAGCTTCTTTTTCATATCTATCAATTGTTATTGAGGAGTTTACTAAAAAGATCAAATTTTCGTGGAAGCAACCACACTCTCAGTACTTTGTACGTTGCAGTAATAGAAATGATCTCACCAAAGAGATTCAATTTCACGTCTTCCGAAAAGTATCAAGGAGATTATGAAATTGTTTGAATTTTCTGTAGTGTGTGTGTGTGTGTGTGTATGTGCGCGTGCGCATTCAAGGTTGTTTGTTGTTACTAATTTTGATATAAAATTCATACATATACATATTCATCACTTAAAGTTTAATCAAGTGAAATAAGAAAGTGTTAAACTTGGATTTTCATTTTTTCAGAATCTGCTCGTGAAATGATGGAAACCTTTTTTGTGGGACAGTACATAGATGTAAGTTAAAAATTTAAGAAATTAAATGCATTGAGTTGAAATAAGTACTTGATTGCCTTAGTTATGATATCAAGAAGCTGTCTGAGATTGGATACTGGGAACATTTTCTAAAGTAGACAGAATTTAGATTTTTAGTCTGAGGGGCACAAGTAATCTGAATATGAAGAAAGTTTACAAATGTCTTTATACATAAAAAAAAAAGAAAAACAAAGTGCTTCATAGGATTTTTGAAATACCAACTTTTTTTCTCTGCAGCCTGAACATGATCTCATCCAATCAACACCCAGCAATGCAGTTTCTTCTCCCCTGATGGACACAGAGAGGACACTGGGACTTTTACTTGGACTCCATGCGTCAAGTCTGGCCCGAGGTACTCGCCTGTCTGCACAAGAGGAGGAGAGCAAGCAGTGGCTGGAGTCAGAGTTTTTTGCTGGAGGATTACAGGTGCTACAGCCACAGAATCCATTTGAGGAGGAGAAGGGAGAAAGTAGGACACCCAGTTCCTGCACCACCACTCCTGGTTAGTACTGCATGGGCATTTGGCCAAGCAGACCTTTGAAAACTACTTTAAAGCCAAATTGTTTTACATTTTAATATGCTAGCTGTAATTCTCTACTGTAATTGCACTTGTCATGATAACATTGTGAGGCTATCTGTGTCGAGAAAAATATTTTTGAAAGAGTTGTATTAGAGCCCAAACTCAAATTTTCTGTTTAAGGCCATACCCCAACATCAGAACAGAAACAACTCCATGCATCCCTCAATGAAAAACAGCAGCTATTAGAGCACCAGGATTCCCTGGCTGATGCATCGAAGCCCTTTCTGCAGTCCTTGGCCGATGGGGGTCTGCAGGAGCACACTGTCCAGTCCTTCATGGGCTACGTCAGCCGTTATGCCAAGCACCACCATCTTGTCATGCCCATTGAGTTTCCTAATGATCATCCTGTGGAAGAAGTCGCCAGGTAAGATATGATTTGTATGTTATTTGTATTGTCTTAAAATGCCCCCCTTTTTTTGTTCAAGATATTTTTATTAAATGGTTTGGTCCCATGTTCAATTTATTTTGTGTATTCATCATCATCAGGTGTCGGGCCTGGAGCCAAAAGCATTATTGGCCTAGGAGGCACCTGGACCCCACGCCTTATTTTCAAACTTTTTAACTAAATGGTAGTCTCATTCCTATTAATCCCACTTCTGATTTGTACATTTTTGTTCTTTAAGACGTTTGATGGCAGTGCTGTTAAAGCATCATGACCTGGGGCACGTGGCCCTGGGGCTGGTAGAACATGGGCTGAGTGAGTCTGGGAACAAGTTTGGACTCCCAAGGTCCATAGCCGAGGTCTGCAAAACTGTGTTTCAAGTCAAAAGATCTCTCATCAAGGTTGGTATACATGGCTGTATGTGGTACATGCACTGTTGAATAATTCTTGGTTATAGCTTGATAGAGTGATCCCTTATTGTTTTATCAATTGAAAGTGTTAGAACTTTTAATATATTACTCCAATTTTTTTTTTTTTTTTTTTTTTTGTAAATTTAGAGAAGATGTGCAAAGTTACATATAAATGTAATAATCAATATTTTCGAAAATTTCACCTTATGATCATGTGGTTAAAAAAAGTACTTAAGATTAATGATTTATTCATTATCATTTTGAGGTTAATACTCATTTGCAATCAGCTTTAAGTGGAGTGATTACATGAGTCTGACACTTCTTTTTTCAGATTCATCAAGATCTCAGTCGTTCATACAAGGAGGTGTGTGCACCTGTGATCGAGCGCTGCATGTTCCTGTTCAATGAGCTGCGTCCTGCCATGGGGAACGAGGTGCACACGATGGAGAAATCCAAGATGCTGAAAAGTAAACCACGTTGGGTGGAGGTGACCAAGAGGATGATTGCGGAAAAGAGGAAAGTGAAATGTAAGACTTCTGTTGAAGTACATATAACTTTTCTCATTTGATAGAGTTGGCCCTTAGAGTGTTAGAGAAATCATTTCATATTTTGATTTGGATTTTGGTATGGATTTTTTCTTCAGTGTCGTTTTCTATTCAAACATAGTTTTATTAGTAAAATTTCAGCCATTGCTTTAAAAGCAGTATTGCAGAAAATTTGAGGCAAAAAAGGTTGTTATCATGGACAAAATAAGAAATCGAATGTTTTAATTTGTAAAGATCATGGATACAACTGAAGCAACATTTAGTTGTGTGTGTACATTTTCAAGTTCATGTTCATTTTAATTTATTTGTAATTTTCATATTAGTGGCCAGTCCGCCCTCTCCCCCACAGCCACAGGCCTCAGGAAGTGCGGACAACTCCAGTCCAGTTCATCCTGAGGACGTCACGCTGGTCATCAAAGAGGAGGACCTGAAACTGGAGGTCAAGGACATGTGGGAGGTCAACTCGAGTAAAGGTCAACCTTCAAGTGTCAAATGTCAGGGGGTCAAAGTTCATGAGGTCAAGATTGAAGAGCCCATAGGTCAGGTGATGGAATCAAAAGATACACCCAGGAAGAGAAGAGTGAATGTAAGATATTATGTGGTTACGCGTTTGATTTGATATTATATTGATTTGTTCTGAGAAAGTAGTATTTAGCTGTACTGCACTATTCAGTAGGAATAGATTTAATATTTTTGTCAAATCATTAAAGGATCTTTACATGTTTGAATATGACCCCATGAATGCCCAGTGATCAAATTCTGTAATGCTATTATAATTTAATATATTTAAATCGAATCTTTTGATACTTATCCACCAGGAACTCTGGGACTTGGTGTACTATGCTGTGTCCAGTCACAGAGAGCGTATGTGGCTGAAGCAGAGGCTGACTGGCAGTATTGTCCACCCTACCCTTATGACCAGGATTGTAGAGTTTGTCCTCTATGAGGATCCCATTGATATTGAGATGTTGAGGACATCGCTGCACCATCAGGTATTGTCTAATCACCCTTAACTTTGCTAAAAAAAATATATATATATATTTAATATCCTCTCAGAGTGTAAGAATGTTATGTAGCAAAAAAAAAAATAATAATAATAATAACAAAATCTTGAAATTTGAACAGTATTCCACTTAATGCTAAATAATAATATATACCAATCCAAACTGTTGAGAAAATAAGGTTTAATAAACTTCAGTTATTTTTCGTTTTTATTTTGTTTCTGCTTAAATGGCACCTTTTTGCATAGTGGCTAAGACGCAGCTTTTCATTTGGGACTAAATTTTCACATGCCACATTGTAAGTCCAGTTACACTGTGAGTCTTTATGTTTTCTTGTAGGTTGAGAGAGCGGAGTCCAGACTGACTGGCATCCAGAACATGCTGACCTTGGTCCACAAGGACTTCCTGATCCCCTCAGTCAAGTATAACATACTGTGTGGATGGCAGGGCAGCATTGCAGCAGAGAGGAAGTGCAGGTACTGGTTTTCTATCGTTACTTTTGAAAAGACGTGTTTAAATATGTTTATTTGCTTTATTGTTATTATTATTATTGTTGTTGTTTGTGTTATTATTTATTTCTTTCTTTTTACTTTTTATCTGAGCGAGAGTACTAATATTTAGTTATATGTATAGATGGAAGCCGTATCTTAATGAGAGTTTGCCTTATTCAGCTGTTACAGTCCTTTCTTTTTCACATCTTTGGAGAATGTATTTTAAAGGGATTGTTTGTGGTTGTTTGTGAATGTCAACAGGTTAGCCTCATTAAGTCGTACCTGGATGAAATTAATGTGTCTCAGTAATTTTTCACCTTTTCTCACATAGTGACAGCAGCATCAACTGCCTCTCCAACGTGAACTTGATCCCGCCCTGTGATAGAATCCTCCTGGAAATGATGTTCTCAGAGCTGAACAAGTGGGTGGTGAAGACCTTGAGGAGTTGTATCATAGAGGCTGATATGTTCTTCAAGGCACACAGCCTGCCTGCCTCTCATACCCAGGATAATAGCAAGGTTTGTGTGGTACGTTGGGCTATCTGTTGTTTCCTAGATGTGTTTTCATGTTACTTCTCTCTACCTAGGCATCTTGTTTTTTGCCTGTATTTGATCTTGTAAGCCTTTATCCAGTTTTTACGTATCCATGTATAATTATTTGATTGAATTTTCATTCGGTGTGTGCATTCATTCATTTGGGCAAAATGTAAAGCTTTCTGTAAAAGTGCTTGAAAATTGTATGGACAAACTACTTTCCACTTGTAAATGTTGTTTAATAGTAAGAAAAAATTGTTTAAAAAGCCGGTAGATGAAGACTTTTAGAAGGATGTGCTTGAAAGCTTGGGGTTTTGCTGTTTGGGTGTAAGCATGTGTGGCATCCCTTCAGTAGTGTGGATTTATTTCCTTGATATTCTAAAATAAAGAAGTAAACACATAAATAAACAAATAGATATTTACTGTTCATAATATTTTACTTCTCAGGAGGATATAAGTCTTGGTGTGCTGCCAGTGGCCAGGTTTCTGTTGGCAACTCTCAGCTTACTTCTCACAGAGCATCAGGCTAATGGTATCAGCATGCTTATCAACTCTGGTCTCCTGGCTCTGACACAGAGTCTACTCAGATTGGCAGGTGAGGACTTGAGATTTCAACTTAAGTGTTTAGGTTTGTTGTATAAATTCAAAATATTATTATTAAAATTCTTTCTTTATTTATTTGCAAATGTGAGTCCCATTTTGACCTTATAACAGTATCAACTAGTAACAATGCAGAAATTTTCAACCATGCAAACTTTAACTTGGAACACCTTCTTAAAATCACAACCGATTCTGTATTCCCCTCAGGCCCAGATCTTGAGACCATACCCCAGCAGAGCTGTAACTCTCTGTGTGCTGTGCTGGAGGAGTCCCAGAAACAGAAGCGTACCCAGCCAGTGCCTCTGTCTGGACCAGAGCTGGCAGCCATGATGAAAGTGGGCACCAGGGTGATGCGAGGAGTGGATTGGAAGTGGGGAGACCAGGTAACCAGCTTATCTTGAATGTTGCTCCCTCTGCTGACTTCTTTTTTTTATTGGGGGGGGGGGGGGGGGGGGGAGGAGCTAAACACAGATTTATTAACACACTTTATTTAATATTTCAAGTGTATATGTGGTTGATTTTGGTATATACTAAAAAACTAATTTGTCAAAGATGAGATGAGATGTGAGATTACTTTGAAACAGACAGAATGTATTCAATCTAAGCAACTAGTAACCATGGAGCAGATCATCTTGAAAAAACTTCTGGTGACATCTGTGGTGTATTTTTCTCTTGTCAGGATGGGCCCCCACCCAGTCTTGGTCGTGTGATAGGAGAGCTTGGAGAGGATGGCTGGATCAGAGTTCAGTGGGACACAGGCAGTACTAATTCCTACAGAATGGGGAAGGAAGGGAAGTATGATCTGAAGCTGGCTGAGCCTCCACAGATGTCCACTGAAGAGGATGAGGAAGAAGATGATGATGTTGGTAGGTATTGTCTGCTGCTGGACCTCTTCCCAACCTTGCCTAGTTTTTCACCCAGAACTGGTCATGTCCAGCCAGTAATTTGCATTTCCTAATTGTTTTCCCAACAATGACTGAATTGTTAATTGAATATATATCAAAAGAAACATTCTGAAAGTAAGCTAGTTGGCTTTCAGCGTACATTTTTACCTACCTTCATATTAATACCTAATTTTGTATCTTTATTTATGCAATTTTATGTATTTCTTTATTACATAATACAGTAGCAGACAATGAGAGAAGAGAGCGTAAACATCCCACTGCCCTGCTCCGTTGTGTGACCACACAGCTCCTGAAGAGTGTGGCCATAATGACCAGCGTCCATGCGGAGCAGGTCTTGGAGGAGGCCATCTGTACACTGTGTGGACTGGTCAGAAATATTGTGGAGGCCGGGTGTAACAGTGGCCTCAGTAAGCTGTGAATTGATGATGTTAAATTATATTTACTGTCAGAGCAGTTTATATCTTTTGGAAAATCACTGTTATGGAAGTTGAAGATCTATGCCAGGTTTAAGATATTACATTTAAAGGTTTTGAAAATGGATTAAAAACTGGCTCTGTCTTCAACAAGATATCAGTCCCACATCATTTTCCCTAATTTAAATGATTTATTGATATTATTACTAAAAAAATTTGATTGACATCTGTTTAAGTTATGACTTAATGAAATATTGGAAATTTTTTAAAAATTATTTTTTTACAAGTATCTCCAGATTTCAAGACAAATTTTGAATCAGCATAGTTTGGTCAATGAACATCATCTGATTCATTTACAGTCACAAAATTTTTAATATCTTGTTATCTAAATTCCAGACACTAACTCCACCCAGATACTAATTGCCAGAGAGCAGTACTACAGCTGGGGCAGCCTGGGCTTTATCTCCAGTCTGGCACACAGTCCCAGTCTGTGTAAGGCCCTCAGCACACACCCCTGGATCCAACTCCTGATTAGAATACTCACTGAGGACCAGGACCCCTCTGAGCCAAGGAATTTGCCTAGACAGGTATGGCATGTCCTATTATCACTAATAGATGCATGACAGTCTTTTCATGATTATCTTCTTTTGGAAGATGTTTAGGTCTCCAGTTGGGATGATGTTTGTAACACTACAAATATCTTGACAGACATTACACCTCTACAAGTACATTTAAACAAATGGTATAAACACTTCTTGAAGAAGTATTTAATTAGGTGTTTAACTTTGGGTAAGGTACAAAATATTAAAACAAGATTGTGGTCTTTCTGATTGACTTTGTGGGTTTTTTGTGATTTCAATCTTCTCTTATATTGCAAAGGTTAGAGCTGCATGATGCATATACAGCAACACTTTTCCAGGCCTTGTCAAGTGACACACCCATTGACACACAAAGCAAACAATTTATTTTAATGTGCTGAAATTCCAGATTTTAACACTACGTTTGCTGAGAAGAGTGCTGCCAGCCTGGGACAGTGGAGTGGACAGGTCTAAGATGACAGAAGTTATCAGCAGACTGTTCAGTCTTTTGGGACATGTTTTGATGACCTGTGATTCAGATCCAACCCTCACTACACAGGGTAAGCACCAGATTATTTTAAGAAAATATTAAATATTTGGTATACTAAGAAGATGTTATTTTGAGAAGAAATTCCAAGTTAATATTTCAGGTATTTTGTACAGTGATACCTCAGAAGTAGTGGAGATATTGAAGATTTACTTTTGATTCTCAGGTTAGAGTCTGTGTCAACTGCCCTGGTATGATTTAGATTTATTGATAAAATTTTGCATCATTTCTTAAAAAATACTGTGCTTCCTTTTTGGGGACAATTGTTAATTTTTTAGTTCCATTGAAATTGTCCATCCACATACAGGGGCGGATTTAGGCCGTCTTCTGGGTCTTCCAGAAGACGGTCAAATTTTCAGGTTTACATAGATAGGTATGTAATTTTTTCTGTTGGAAGACGGTCAAAATTGGAGGATTGATCAACAAAGATAATTTGGAAGACTGTCAGAAAATAGCTCTGGATCCGCTCCTGACATATTCCCCTGGAAGCATTCATTTTTTCTCTTCTGAACTTTAATCTTTTTTCATGTGTTTTTTTTTTCTCTTTTCATTATTCCTTCCACAGATTCTTATTCCAAGGCCAGTAAAAAGATCAAGGCCCCTGTTTCCCTGACTGCCTCTTACTCCAGTACAATAGCTGAGGAGGTGGTGAGTCTTCTACGCTGCCTTCACGGCCATGATGCCTGGAACCCTCATATCAATAAGTTTTTATGCAACCAGTTAGGCACCGTTGCTGAACTGCTCACTGGGAAACAGGTGAGGGGAAACTTGGAATTGTTCCCTTAATAAATACTATTAATTTTTTATTCTTTTTCAGATTTATAAGTACTTAATGCATATTACATTGTAAATGCAATTGTAAAGTTAGGCAGTTTTTACACAACTAGATGCTTGGTCAGAAATACCATTGGAATTTTGTTAATTTGTATACTTTGGTGTATTGAAATATTATGGTGAAGATTGAACATAAGACTGAATGATGATAAGAGAGTAAAATAAAACATAAAATTAACAAGTATGATTTTGATATGAAGTGCAATTTGAATATTTGGGCTGAGGGAATGAATATGAATTTTAATCCTTCAAGTCTGTCTATTTTTGCTCACAGGACACCACAGCCAGTAGTGTGTACAAGTCCATCTTGGCCGTCTTGGCAGTGATAGGCGGGGTGGATGACCGTGTGCGTTTGGGAGGACTGGCCACATATGAGGAATGTGGTTTAGCTACTGTGTCTAGAATACATGTCAGAGGGAAGGTGACTCTACAGTTCCATGAGAACAAGGAGATCAGGACGTTTAAACTTTCTGAGATTAAACCAGTAAGTGAAATTTCATTTCTGTTCCATTTTAATGCTGTTGGAAAAGACTAGATAAAAAGAATCTTTTGTGGCGTGTATGGCATTTGGTGTAGAGAAAGAAAATGTTGTCAATGCAGTAACTGTAATTTTCTAATCTGTTGTTCCTAATGAATATCATCGTAAACTCTGAAAAAACAAACAAACAAACAAAAAAAAAAGAATAGACAAACAGATTAAAATATTAACATTTAAGGCAATTTTCAAGTAAACAACTTATAAAGTGAATGTTTAGATGTAACTTGCCTTATCTTTTTGCACAAGACATCTAATAAATTTGAACAATCTTTTTTTATTTCAGATAAAGTCCAGTCGTTTTCTGGTTGACCAGTTGCCCCTCACAGACAGTCTGTTACAGATATGGACCAAACTGGTCACCATAATGTCCACCACTAGGGAAAAGGACCACATGACCAGTTTACAGGCATCAACTGGGCCAGCAGAGGGAGCATCTTCTGCTTCTGGTCAGTTTTGGTTGACCTCCATCACATTTTCCTCGCAGATCTGTTCAACATCCCCTTACTTTAATTTTAAGTGTTGAATATGATTTGATTTGAAAATTTGCTGAATGAAAAACTTACAGATTTTTTTAAAATATGACTGGAGGAATTTACAGGTAAACAGCAAACATGTTATTAAGGATTCATGAAAATTTAATAAAAAATAAGATATTAAGATATAAGTTTTTGAAGAAATTCTTTAATGTAACTTTGTATGTCTTTTTTGATTTTGTTAGTTTCATTACTTTTAGTTTCATTAGTTTTAGCTTTACCTATCTTTTACAGACATGGTGCAGCTAAAACTCCTTCAAATTCAACAGCTGAAACTTGGACTTCTGAAAGCTGCAATAGCTCTGTTCAGTAAGCAAGAAAACCTGCGCAAGATCCTACTCCAACCCATTCCTGTAGACAGTGTATCTGTGCAAGCCACTTCAGATGTAGATGGCAGCAGTGATACTGGTGGCCAAGAGGACACTAGTCCAGAGATTGAGTCTGGTCCCAAGTTTCTGATGCAGCAGCTAATGTTGGCAGCCACCCAACCCTCACAAGTCAAAGCTGTCTTTTCAAGACAGGAATTAGAAGTGGGTTTTGTCCATCCATCTAAACTCTATAATCTTGCACCGTTTTAATCTGCATTCAGATTTTTCTGGGAATAGAAATTACTTGTATTCTGGTGTAATTTGAGCAATAATCATTATTGGATGTTTGTCATAAGTTCATTGTTTTTCTATTCCAGGCTGCAGCCTTGGCAGTTTGTCAACACTTGACAGCTCAGGCCAACAATCCATACAGCAGTCAGAGCCAGGACTCCCTTATGGCCAGTTCACACCTCAGCGACCTTGGTGCTGCTGCACCTGCCTCGGTTCTTGACAGCAACACCAAAGCAAACAACGAGCCTGCCCCACAGGCACCAAAGTTTACTCAAAAGCCCCAGGAATCTCAGATTGTTGCTAGGTTGCAGAAACCTAAGCGTATAAAGCCGCCTAGTCCTCCTCCTGTGCCCGTTGTGGCTCAGTTGATGGAGATGGGGTTCGTTAGGAAAAGGGTGGAGATGGCATTGAAAGCTCTAGGTTTGTATCTTGGCATCTAATGATATTAAGAAATAGATAAAAAATGTATAATTGTAATTAATCTGGAAAGAAATTAAAGTAAAAAGAATAAATTCCTTCTTGTATAATTTATATTAATTTAATACTTAATGACTCTAATGACTGCCAAGAAGTTGAAAAATATGCTCATTCCTATGATGTCGAATTCTTCAAAGAATTTAAGTTTATTTTCAATGCTCTATGTATTTTAAAACTAATATCTAAAATGGGTCAGGTAACTGAAAAACATTATTTCACTGTGATATTCAGAAGGGGCCTGTGCCCCAGGTGCAGACACCCCCAGTGCAGAGACCTTGGTGGGCTGGTTACTAGAACACCACGATGTCCAGCCCCCCTCCTCCTCCAGCGACTCTGACTCCTCTGTAGACCTGTGTTCTGATTCGGAATCCATGTCTGATGAGCTGGAGGACCTGGATGGTGGATATGCTGAGGTAGGGATAGATAAGACGGATAGTTTGATTGATTAGATTTCTGTGTTAGTGACAGGACTATTGTCAGGGGAGCTAAGGCATTATTGAACATCATAGTTTCTTGAACTTTGAACTTGTGAGCAAATTATTATCTACATGTCTGTAATTCAAAATCAAAACAAAAATTTGCTGTTAAAAGGATTATCAAATTTTAGGATTTTAAAATTTCTTAGACATTTCCATGAGCAGCATGAATAACTTTTTTGAATCAAAGTATGTGGAAGAAACAATATATTATATTTTGAAAATACGTAGCAATATAATTGGTACCTAAGATAAGATATGAGATTCCAAATAAATGTAGGAATATATTTGGAACCTAATATCTCATATTTGTAAATTAGAGAAATTAAGTCATAGACAAGTAATGAACGTGTAAATAGCAATCCTTATGTCCTTTTTATAACTCATTACTTTCAGGCGGTTGCCATAGAACCTCCATTGCCTGCCACGCCATACAAACGCAGATCAGAGTTTGCTAACAATGACGAGTACGCCATCTATCTCAGTGACCACATCCAAGTGGGCATGATGGTCAGGTGCTGCAGGACATACGAAGAAGTGCATGAAGGAGATATTGGGAAAGTTATGAAGGCAAGTATGAAGTTCAGCAGAACTTTGTCTGTAGGTAGTAAAGGAAATTACTTGAAGCATGTTGAATACTTCAGTCCTAGATGACGAGTATGAATTTTCCTCATTTGATTTAAGGTTTACATTAAGCTAACTTGAAATTAGGCATGGAGCTAGACCTGCTAATGCCATAACATATCTTAAATTATTTGTATAGATATAATAATTATAATAATGATAATTTATAAGTTATAATTTTACATGAGAACATTCAAGTTGTTGGCTGTTTATTCTACTGTTGTAGTGCTACTGTTTGTTTACATAAGAGTTAAAAGAAAAAGAGCATGCTGATATTACATCAGCCTGTTTACACTGTTCCTTTATTTATAATTTTTTTTTTTTTTTGGGGGGGGGGGTGTACATGGTCATTAAGAAAATTGTTCAGACACTGATACAGATGGACAAATTAACATAATCGAATTATTAACTTTCCAGCTTGACAGCGATGGTCTTCATGACCTGAACATCCAGGCAGAGTGGCCCAGGAAGGGAGGTCTCTACTGGGTTAGGTACATCCATGTAGAACTGCTGGGATTCATACCTCCTGGACAACAGAGTAAGTCATCTTTGGGGACCACTTTTTTTGGCAGGAATTTATTTTTAGTACTGATATTTGCTGTTCAGTGAAGATCGATAAATTGTATTTACTTTTGAAAAGACAATTTGTTAAACAAATTGGTATATTATATTTGGTTTATTTCATCTCAGCTTATGGCAAACTTTGATATATGGAAATTTGTAGGAATGATTTTGGATTGTGCAAAACAATTATGTGATTTAGCTACATAAAATATAATGTTCTCTGAGATTAACTGGTTGATAAGTTCTTTTTTGTATGGGCCAAGAGACTCTAACATTTTGCTCAGCAGTTTTAATGCTATTACACTACATCTCAATTAGCAACGCTGAATCTAACCATTTGTATAGACCATATAAACTAATACTGTTGTATCCATCCTCTGCTTTGTTGGAACAGAAACAAATTTCTGGAAATGACTGGAAAGCAATCTTGCCATATCACTTCAAACTCTCTGACTTCGCTCACTCTTGGCCTACAACGTTGTTCAAGTCCCAAAATGAGCATGTTCTGATTATTCCTGATATTTATTCCATAAATTGGGTGTTGTTTTTTGCAGTACCAGCAGTGACAACAGGGTCATCAACAGCAGTAGCACTGCCCACAGCCACACAACAACAGAACATCAAGGTTGGGGACAGAGTCCGGGTCAAGAGGAGCGTGACAACACCAAAGTACAGATGGGGTTCTGTCACACATAACAGTATAGGAGTTGTCACAGGTAGGGGTTACGGGGAATATGTCAAAGCATTTTGGTATAACAGATATATTGACAAAGTTTCTTGAAAGATTCAGTATATAAGTTGTCACAGGGAATCTGCCATAGTAGTTTGATATGATAGATACATCCAAATTTTCTTCAATCCATTTTGGACTGGCACTATGAATATGGTGGTATTTTAATATTTAATTTTGGTTTGATTTTGATATATATTTGTACAATGACATAATATTAATATATAAAAACATAATTCAGCTATTAGTGCCAGTGGTAAAGATGTTACTGTGGACTTTCCACAACAAAGTCACTGGACAGGACTTATGGCGGAGATGGAACTGGTGCCCAGTGCTCATCCTGGTGTCACGTAAGTTCTGTATTATTTATTTTACCAAGAGCATATGTACTGGTTAAAACCTGGATCTGGCTTGAAAGTGCCACTTTTAATGTGAACTGTTCAGTGGGTTTTTATTTTCAAAGTTAAAGAAATATTTAGTTTTGAAAGTTACACATGTATAAAAAGTATTACAGTAACTGCTACTCCCTGTTTATAAATTAAATGTTTTGTTAGTGCAAAGGATTGAAATAATATGATATAACATTATTTATTTATTTATTTATTTTTATCATTGCAGATGTGATGGCTGTGGTCAGTTTCCCATCATGGGGCCGAGGTACAAGTGTAAAACATGCTATGACTTTGATTTCTGTGAGAACTGTTTCAGAAGTAAACGCAGCCACAGGCATGCCTTCAACAGGATTGCAGACCCAGGTATGAAACAAAAAATAATAGGTTGTAATTGTAATTTGAGTATAAACATCCAGACTAGGCAAGAAAGAAAAAATACCATGTCTTTTATTTTGGGTAAATATGGGTAAGTCTTTTGGGTTATATATGTCAGCAAATCGGAGTAGAATATTCAATATGCCATGTAGGTGAACAGTGTCTCTGGTGAAACTTGTAAAAGGAGTTTGAAGTCCCTACAAAAGAGAAGTCTGTACTGATAAAAAACAAAACCTATAAAAAGATTGTTTTTAAAACTATAAGTTTATATTTTGATATATGTCCATAGGTGGCCCTGCAATCTATGCTGGCAAACCTAGCCGTTACCGCAGTAGGTTTAACGACTCTAACATCAGTGGAGGCGGCACATCCGACTCATACATCGATGACTGGCACAGGTGTGTCAAGTACCTGACAGTATCATCAAGAGAGAACCAGGCACACAGACTGATAGATGGCTCTGGAGGCTGCTGGCAAAGTTCGGGCTCACAGGGCAAGGTATAGGAAGGAAAAGGAGGCCACTGCTAAGAATTAAACAAATTTATTAAGCTGATGCTTTTAAGCCCAATGAGAGAGATTAAATACAAAAATTTGGAAAATTTGGGGAAAAAAATACTGAATTATTTAAAAAAATCAAAAACCAAACACTGGTTAAAAAAGGATTTTGAATCCTCCTTATAGCATTCACTTATAGGTATTTTCTTAACAGAGCTGCAATTTTATTTGTTTTTGACATTTTCAGCACTGGATCAAGCTAGAGATGCAGCCAGACCTGATTATCACCAAGCTGACCATGCGAGTTGAGCCCTCAGACTCCAGCTACATGCCCAGTCTGGTGGTAGTCAGTGCTGGGGACACTGTCCACTCCATGAAAGAGATAAGGACAATACATGTGGGACAACTGGACACTACTGTTGTCCTGCTGCAGGACATGGCAGAGGTAGGTCAGGGCTGGTGGTCAATTAAGAATGACCATAGACTGGACAGTGTTTTAAAAAGTAACTCCAGCATATTTAAGTGCTGTTGGATTTTGACTGTGCAGCTTTAGCATCTGAGCTGCAAAAATGGTATTTTCTTTTTCCCTTTGATGTCATTGATTTAAGTTAGATAATTAGGAGATATGTTCAGCAAATTCAACAATTATACCAAAAAAAAATATATTCCCCAATGATTTATGAAATGGTTTTGGTAGGAATGTGAATATCACTCTTCATTGTAAAATTTCTGTAAAGGGTATTTTTAATTTTATTACATTATATCGAAATCCCTTGGAAGTTGTAAATTCTTTACTCCAACAGATTCTTTTACTAAATTAACTCTCTATTTTATTGCAGTATTTCAGATTCATCGAACTCTCCATTAAGCAGTGCCGCAGCAGTGGCATCGACTGTAAGATTCACGGTCTCTCCATCTCAGGGAGGATGAGAGCCGAAGAGGATGACATGGCTGGAAACTTCCCTTTCCTGGAATCGGATGAAGAGGAGGAGGAGCAGACGACAAGCCAGCAGCAGACCAAGAAGGTGAAGCTGTCCAGTAACAAGGAGATCCAGACTCATGTATTTGTGTGGGGGCTGAATGATAAGGACCAGCTTGGAGGGCCTAAAGGATCTAAAGTGAGTGGGAAATTGTTTTGTGTTCTGTACTATTTATTTATTTTACTGAATTTTTATAATGAAGAAGATACAGCAAGTTCAGAAGATTCAGCAAGTTCAGATAATAATAACAATAACAACAATTACTGTAATTCTTCTATACCCAACATATCATATCTAAAAGCCTTTGCCTATAACAAAAGAATCACTTAAGATGAATAGTTTAAAAGGTTAAGTATTAGATATTATCTATATTAAAATCATATAATATTTTGTTCCAGTTTTAGATACAGTTATAAATTTGTATGTATTGTAGTTTTTAATCTGTTTCATTATGTTTTTTTCCAGATCAAAATGCCAGCTTTAAATGAGTTTAACTCTTCCCTGAAGTGTATCCAGATAGCAGGGGGATCCAAGAGTCTCTTCTGTGGTAAGTCCTGTGCTAGCTGTGACTGTTTATGATTATGTTCAGTAAATATATGGAACATTTTAAGATCATGAGGAAAATTGTACTAAAACTTTGTAAATTTGCACGGAAAAACAATGTGATATGTATTCTACGATTTAATTATCAATAGCCAAACATGATTTTTAGATAACAAATTAAATGTAAAAAAAATCCAATTTTCCCCTTAATTTGTACTCATAACCAGACACCAAGGTGCAGATGATAATAATATTTTGATAGAGTTTTTTTTAGCAAAAGTATTTGATGTGGCTTGTATTATAATATTCCAGTAACTCAGGATGGTAAGGTGTATGCCTGTGGGGAAGCCACACATGGCAGACTGGGTCTGGGTATTACCAGTGGGAATGTCTCCACTCCAAGACAGCTGGTCTCACTGAGCCAGTATGTGATCAAAAAGGTTGCAGTACATTCAGGTAAAGACGAGTGGATAAATTGCTCTCTGAGCTTACTCTAGTTAAAGCTAAGCAATATCGAAAATTTCTTTCTGAGAACTGTCAAAGAAAAATCATGGGAAAGCTGTTGATTTAAGGAAATTAGAATGTTTTTATTTCATTTTATTTAACAAATAATAAGAAAGATAAAGAAATCACTAATTTAATGATGAAAATATTCCTGTACAGGTGTGTTTTGAGGTAAAACATACATTTATTGAAAATACTGAGATACCTAAAATATTTTGATTCTTTTAGAAATGTTATGTGTACCATACTTTAAGGGATTGTTTAATATTAATATCAGGTGGTCGGCATGCTCTTGCCTTAACTGTGGATGGTAAGGTGTTTTCATGGGGAGAAGGTGATGATGGAAAGCTGGGACACTTCAGTAGGTTGTAAGTATTCTGTTTAAAATGCCCACTGTTAGGATTGAAGATTTAAAAAGAAAATAAATGATTTCCTAAATATTTCTCAAGATATTGTAAAAATGTATATAATGTGTATTTAAAAGATATAAAAGGGGTTTTATATAAGATTTAATATGCACATGCTTGCACAGATGCATTCATATACGTATACAAGTACTCGATACACAGACCTGTGTCTGTCTGCATAACTGCATGAGTCAGGAGACATGCACATACCTTATTGAGAAATATATTTACTTGTAAGATAGCCCATACCTGTATATATTGATTGTATTTCAGCAATTCTGATAAACCTAAGCTGATTGAAGCCTTAAGATCAAAGCGTGTGCGTGACATTGCGTGTGGGAGCTCTCACAGCGCAGCCATTTCATCTAATGGAGATCTGTACACGTGGGGCCTTGGGGAGTATGGACGCCTGGGACACGGGGACAACTTAACACAGCTAAGACCTAAACAGGTTGGTGCTACCCTGATAGTATGCCTTTGCCCTGTAGTGATGAAATTACACTGTTATGTAGTAGTGAAAGGGTAAATTAATATTGAATGTTTTTAAATTGATGAAATTCTTTTTTATTATTCCTTTTTTGAATCCTCGAAAGTAGTATTTCTGTAATATGGCTATTATTTTAGTATGGAAGCCCTATGTGGTGGGCCAAGGTTTCTTTACATCAGCTTAAGTCGAAAAGAAAAGTTAACAATGTAATAGATGCCTTGAGCAAAGCTCTGCAATTACACAACCACCTGTCTTAGGTGCTTAGATTAATAACTTGAAATTGGGTTGCTGTATTACTAGGTGAAGGGTCTGGCTGGGAAGCGGGTGGTCCAGGTCGCCTGTGGAAGCAGAGACGCCCAGACCCTGGCACTGACAGATGAAGGTCATGTGTACTCTTGGGGTGATGGAGATTTCGGGAAACTTGGCCGCGGAGGTAGTGAAGGATGCAGTGTGCCTCGCATCATTGAGAGACTGACAGGACTGGGGGTGATACAGATAGAGTGTGGGGCACAGTTCTCGCTGGCTTTGACCAAAGAAGGAGAGGTCTGGACATGGTAAGAGGAAACTGCCCTGAATTTCAGAGATTATTGGAAACAAACCATTATCAGGCATGCTGATGTTAAAGATTACCTGTCTCTGAAATTCAGGGTAAAGTAGATTTAACTTAGTTTGCTTTTGTAGATTATTTTTAATGTCACATTTGGTGCAGTTAATGGATTTGATATTTCAACTGTATTTCATATTTATTAAGTTATTTTCTGGTTAATATCAGCTCATCTTGCACTCTTGTGTTGGAGGAAGGAAATCATTTTTTAAATAAAATTAGTAATAAAATGACAGATTCTGTGATTTATTTTTAAAACTTGGGAAGTATTGTACTAAGTTATTTGCATTGTTCTCCATAGGGGTAAGGGGGATTATTTTCGCCTTGGTCATGGCACAGATGCCCATGTGAGAAAACCCCAGCTCGTGGAGGGCCTGAAGGGCAAGAAAATAGTTCATGTGGCAGTGGGAGCTTTACACTGTCTGGCAGTGCAGGATCAAGGACAGGTAGGTGGTGGTTTCTTTGGGTTTGGATTGATTCATAAATGAAACATGCATTACCAGATACTTATTGTTACAATTTTTTTTATATTTTTGGGTTGTGTGTTGGTTTTTTTCTTTTTTTTTTCAGAAAAGACATTTCATGCTTATAAAAAATAGTTATAATATTAAATGATAGCAGCAGTGATAGTTAACTGAAATGGTAATGATTGATAATGAAGATGATGTATTTTCAAATCTGTACAGAATAGATGTAAGAAAAATGTATACCAAAAAGGTTAAGACCAGCTCCAAATATAGAAAAATTATTTACCGAAAATGGATGTGTCAAGCCCTGGGTATTATTTTATTTCGTTCAGTAAAGAAAATTAGAGATAAACAAATAAGTATTGCTGCAATATTTCAGGTGTATGCCTGGGGTGACAATGACCATGGTCAGCAAGGCAATGGCACCACAACAGTCAACAAGAAGCCCGCTCTGGTCCATGGACTGGAGGGGTATAAGATCACCCGTGTGGCCTGTGGGTCATCTCACAGTGTGGCCTGGACACTGACCGATATGTCGGCTCCTTCCTCACACGAACCTGTCATGTTTGGGACACCTAGGGATCCACTGGGAGCATCTGTTGTGGGTGAGTGTGACTCTGTGTTGATTGTTTTGCATTCTGTTTAACTTATTCTGAGTCTGTGTTGAAAGGAACAAGGCAGCACATCTCACAAACGCCATCTGCAAATTTTGTGGTAGTTTTTCCTTTGACAAATATGTTTCTTTTCCTTCTCAATTTATTTTATTGGAAATTATTTTTAATAAGTAACATGGTAAGATAAGCCAAGCTTAGCCCTGTTGCTGTGAATGTTCAGCACATTTTATTCTTCAATCAATTTTTTATGTCACAGGTGTTGAAGATAGTAGTTCCGAGGAAAGCCCTGTGTCACCCACCCCTAACAACGCCATTGGAAAGAGCAGTGTCCGACCCTCTCTGACCAAGATCATTCTGTCCCAAGAAAGCAGCTATTCCAAACAGCAAGCCCTCAAACATATTCTAACTGCACTGCAGATTATGTATGCAAGGTTAGTTATAGAACTTTATATAAAGGGTGGTTTTCCAGTAAACACTGTCCTTTTTCAGAGGTCCATAATCCATTATTGACAAAAAAATTGATAGTTTGGCTGTGAAAAGATGACGTAGATGTACACATTTATGATTGCAAAAAATAAACGTCTTCTGTCTCTGAATTTTTTTTTTTTTTTTTAGTTCATTGGTAACCCTATTATCAATCATTTTGAAAAATGAACCGATTTAATGATTAATTTTTGGTTGTATTTTTAAATTATTCTATTTACTATTAATACAATTATAATAACAATAATAATATTATTATTATCTCAGAGGTGCTATAGTGGGAGCACTGACCAAGGAGCCAGACACAGTCAGTGCAGTGCCAGGGCTGGACAACTGGAAGATGACCACCCCGGCCAGTATCTCCCCAGTGTCGGCCACTCCTGTGGAGAGCCCTAGGAGTCTCAGTGGGAGTGGGGAGCAAGAGCTACAGGTATTAATTAACAGAATGCTGGATGAATGTAGATATGGAAAGCATATTTGTTAAGAGATGCAATATTATTTCTGTTTAATCTTGGAAAAATGCAGGTTGAACAAGTGTGAAATGTGTGAAAGAAAAATGATAATAATGTACAAGGTCAAAGGTGGTGATAAAAAGATATTGAAATTAATCATGCTGTTTAGACTAAAGAAATAGTTTCTATCAGACGAATCATGCAGAGTTGGCTCTGTTTTCAACAGACTTCTCCACTTGTTTTCAGACAATCCAGCAGATGGCAGCAATAGCACCCATAAGGCCAGAGCACCTCCCATCATTCCATGCTTTAGTGGCAGCCAGTCCCACCACCAGTATACTGGCAGAGACAGTCACCTCAACAGAAGAGGCAAGTCATGTGGTTTTTAAGTCTTGTATAGCACATTATTACATTACCACACAGTAACGATTACTTATTGCTTAAAATGTTTTTCATTTTGATTGTAATGTAAGTTTTTAATGAAATTTTGTCCCTATTTCAAAATATATTAACCTATATGTATTATCTTATTAAAGGGTCAATAACTTATATGTATTATCTTAGTAAAGGGTCAAGTTCGTGTGATATATTATATTGACAAGAGTTAGAAATACTTGATGAAATAAATGCATGGGAGTGATCAAAATTAGATCCAAAGAGATGTAGCAGTTGTTACCATCACACTGTCTTTAAATCATGTAATTTTACAAACGTAATCAACAGTATCTCATACAACCACTATCTCCAGGTTGCCGAGCCAGAGGAGACAGACCACTCAACATCCCACACTGACCTTGATGACTTTACGGCCAAACTGACCGCCAACGATGCCCGCATGCTGGTTGATCTCCTCAAACTGGCCGTAGCTGGTCGTGCCGGTGCTCACGGCAAGGAGGCGCTGTCTGGTGTGCTGAAGGCTCTGGGGAAGACTTACCCACAAGTCCAGGAGATGTTGCTAGAACTGTGTGTGACGGAATTGGAGGACGTGGCAGCGGATCGAGAGTCGGTTCGAAATGCTGCCCAGCCTGTGGTACAGGAGAGCTCGCACCCCTACACTGATGATACCTCACTCAGTGGCCATGTGAAGATACCAGGTGATTTGGTGTGTGTGTGTGTGTGTGTGTGTGTGTGTGTGTGTGTGTGTGTGTGTGTGTGTGTGTGTGTGTGTGTGTGTGTGTGTGTGTGTGTGTGTGTGTGAGTGTGTGTGTGATAGTTCATGCAGAATTTATTTTCTTGACTGCTTAATGTATGCTTGTCTGTGAAGGAAAGGTATATAGAAAAACTCAATCAGAATGTATCTTCAAACATTTCTTAAGTTGTGAGACATTTCTACGACTGTCAGCAATGATTATTGTATTTTAGGTATATCTGATATTGTTATTGGAAACCAGTTAGATGAAATGTTGCACAGTCTATGATACACTATATATTATCTTTAGGTGCTGAAGCTTTGCGAGTGGAATTTGACCGCCAGTGTTCTACAGAGAGACGTCATGACCCCCTCACTATCATGGATGCCTCGGGCAGGACTGTCACTATCAGATCAGGTATGTGGATGATGTGTTTAGTGTTTGTTATAATAATAAAAGATTTGATAGGTTTTTCAATCAACAGTTGCAGTTTTAGTTGACCAGTATTTTGCTGTCTCTCAATGCCAACTATCAGTGTCATGGTAGTATCTGAAAAGTTAACTTCAGATTTCTCTCTCTCTCTCTCTCTCTCTCTCTCTCTCTCTCTCTCTCTCTCGCACATTGATAATCTATTTATTAACTAATTTACTTAATATATGTATTATTTGTTGAATTTATTCTGTAGGGCGGGAGTGGTCTGACTGGTCTCAGGAGTTGAGAATCAACAGCGAAGAACTCAGATGGAAATTCACCAGTGACGGCTCAGTGAATGGCTGGGGATGGCGCTTTACCGTCTATCCCATCATGCCCTCTGCTGCTGCCCTGGAGCGCCTTTCTGACCGCACGGTGGAGTCCAGGCCCTCCATTGACCTGGTCACTTGCCTGCTGGACCTTAAGCTGGAGGCCTCTATGGACAAGACCATTGTGACCAGACTGGCCGCAGCCCTGGCGGCTTGTGCTCAATTAAGCTCACTTGGTATAGTACCTTTTAATTGATATATTGACAGAAATATAGTTTATTATGTGTATGACCCAACAGTCATGATGAATATGCATAGATATTTATAGCAAGAAAAATGCACGATGCAAGATTATTTAAAGTTATATAACTGAAATATCAACTTTAATAAGGGATTACCTTTTAAAAGAGATGATCTTATTATCATTATGTGCAATATTTTTTAAGAGAAATGGAAATTTTCCATTTTTTAGTCTGAACAGGTAATTGCCTTCTCTTCTGTCAATTCTTTTTGTTTCACTCACAAATACTGAAATTCATCTCATTTTACAGTTTTGCTATTTAAAAGTTGGTATGTATCATTATTTAATCAGTTAGATGATGCCATCATATCAACAGTAAATTTTGTAACAAGTTTAAATATAATTTCTTATTCTCTCCTTTTAGGTGCTAGACAAAGAATGTGGGCTTTACAGAAGCTAAGGGAACTGATGACAACAAATTTTGGTCCAATGATCAATGTTAGTACCTTGATGCAGGCTCCCTGCAGCCCTTTCTCAGACGGTTTGGATGAACCAAGGCAATCAGTGAGTATATTTGGGAATTATAACCCTGTTTTTCATGGTGGAATTATTTAGGCAAGAGAGAAAATGTTAAAATTGCATAATGGATTGCTTCGCATTGGATTTGAGTTTTTTAGATTGGATGCAGTGGGGCTGGGAGTGGGGTCGGGATTCATAAAACCAGAAGTAGTCTAGTTAAATAAGAATAGTAGATATGTTTTACAAAAGGTGTGTTATGAGTAATGTTTTAGATCATTGTTCACTTTATAATTCTACTGCAGATTTGTCATGAATTGAACAAAACAGAAAGACTAATTTAAAATGTCAATCTGAGGCTCTTTTTGAAGATGGGTTTTGAGGCTGGTTTAAATAAGCCCTAAAGTAGAAATACCTAACTATTAGTGTGCATTGCATCAGTCTGCTTTAACATTTTACATATAAAATTTACTTTACAATTCACTCCAGTCTCTGAGTGGAACGGCTCTGGCCTCCCTGGTGAAAGGACTCCCTGAAGCTCTTCAAAGACAGTATGAGTATGAAGACCCCATCGTCAGGAGTGGGAAACACCTCATGCATAGTTCCTTCTTCAAGGTAATGCTGGTGTGGCCAGAAATCTTTTCACTGATTATGTGTGGAGATTACATTAAACTTTTGCTTGTTTTTACAAGAATTTATATTGAATCTCTCATGGGTTACGTTTCAGTTTCCTATTGTTTTCGAATACATTTGTTTGCATTGTCTGTTTCAAAGGTATTTGTTTTATTTATAATAGACAAATTTTTATTTAAAACTTGGATTATTCTGAATATTTATTAGCTAGAAAGAATAATACTTATGTGGGTATGAAACTTCATATATGAATGATGTTTTCCATTTCCCATAGTATTCAGTTTTGTCACTGACCTCTATTTTGTCTAACCTTTTCAGGTGCTGGTTGCCCTTGCTTGTGACCTTGGCCTAGATACTCTGTCTTGTTGCATTGAAATGCACAAATGGTCGTGGTTCCGTCGTTACTGCATGGCAGCACGTGTTGCAGTGGCCTTACAGCATCGCACAGCATTACCGCAACCTTTCTGCGAAGAAGTGCACAAAAAGGTGATGGAGATTGCGCCAGATGATGAGAAGATACGAGGACATGAGGACCACGCGATATTCAAGCAAGAGCAGGATGAGCAGTTGTTGCTGTGGCTCAACAGGTATAATGGGGAGATGGTGTATCTTATATTCTTGTGTGTTAAGTAAAATTGTGGTGTTAACACACCTCAGATAAATGACTGTAAGAAAATTTTAATAAATCATAGTTTCATGCAAATACTTGATAAAAATCTCTAAGAATATAATGTTTAAAATTTTCACCTATGTCTCTTATATAATGTAGTTCAGGTATTATTTAGATGTCACAGATATGATTTTAGTAAGATTTTGGTATTTGAAGATAGTGGAAGACGGATAGTATAGAGTATACTGAAGTGTTACATGTACCTAATAGTTCATTAATGTACTGTCCATTTCCAGACACCCTGATGACTGGACACTGTCCTGGGGAGGTAGTGGTCAGATCTGGGGCTGGGGCCACAATCACAGGGGTCAGTTAGGAGGTGTGGAAGGGGCAAAGGTCAAGCTGCCCTCTAGCTGTGAGGCCCTGGCCCAGCTGAGACCTATACAAGTAGTGGGGGGAGAGCAGACCTTGTTCGCTGTCACGGCTGATGGGAAGGTAAAATATGGGACACTGTTATTGCACTGTTTATTGTAACTTTAAAAGAGTGTGTGTGTGTGTGTGTGCGTGTGTGCTAGCAATGCAAACATTCTTGATGTAGGAATCTAATTGTATGTCCATCAGCATGGACAGATCTAGTACAAAACAGACACTCTGGAACCTGCAGTTAACCTTGTTGTATATAAATCTACCTGGATAAATATTTATGTTTTTAATCAGTTTACATTCTAAACATTCAGGTCTATGCCACAGGCTATGGGGCAGGAGGAAGGCTGGGTATTGGAGGTTCAGACTCTGTGGCCAGCCCCACGCTGCTGGAGTCCATACAGCACGTCTTCATCACCAAGGTGACCGTGAATTCTGGCGGGAAACACTGCCTGGCGCTGTCTGCTGAGGGAGAGGTGTATTCCTGGGGAGAGGGAGAGGATGGGAAACTTGGACATGGAAATAAGAGGTTAGTTCTCAGGTCCTATCAGGTGTGAAAAATGTTGATGATGGAGGAAAAGATGGGGCATGGGAATATGGTATAATGGTGTGAGGTATTTTTTGGCTTATTTGTTCTGAGGATGAGGTTTAAAGGATGTGGAAATTTGACAATGCAGACAAAACTTAGATGCAAGACAATTACCATGGGTACGAATGAAGTTATCAAGCATGGGAGAGAGGAACATTAATTTCATCAAAACAAGAATATCCTCTTAATTTTCACAGCATGATTTTTCTGCAGCAACATTCAAAGAGTTATGTAACTTAAAGGAGAATTTCTGGAAAAAGGCAGAATTTGATATTGATATTAATAATTCACATTTTACTTCCTGTCAAAGTAAAATTGTGTTCAATTTCATTGTAGTCCATGTGACAGGCCTCGTGTGATAGAGAGCCTGCGAGGCACTGAAGTGGTTGACATCGCAGCAGGTGGCGCACACTCTGCATGCATTACGTCAGGTGGTCAGCTGTACACATGGGGGAAGGGAAGATATGGACGACTTGGTCATGGGGACAGTGAAGACCAACTCAAACCCAAACTGGTGAGTTCTTTCGTAAAGTTATATTTGGTACTTGATTATGATTTGGTTGTATATTAATCATTCACAAGTCAGCATAAAGTAATAATCTACATTGATCCATATTTGATTATACCCAAAATAAATTGGTAACTCAACGGAACATTTATTTCAGCACTGATATGTGTGTGAGTGCTCTTTATTCAACTTCTCAATAATTGCCAGTCATAAAATATCACGTCTACTTTACCAGTATCCATTCACAAAGCACAGTGCACATCTTGCCTGCACGAAGATACTATAACAAAATAATATCTCTTTTGATTAATACACTTTCAGGTTGAAGCTCTTCGAGGGTATTTTGTCCAGGATGTAGCCTGTGGAAGTGGTGATGCTCAGACCCTGTGTATCACCAATGATGGCTCAGTCTGGTCCTGGGGAGACGGAGACTATGGGAAATTAGGTCAGCAGAAAAACACATAGGGCTCTTACAGCCTTGAAGAGTACTTAGAATTGCTATTACCCTTGAAAAGGGCTTATATTTCATCATTTTTACCTATGAAAAGTATTGAATTTAGTCATTTAGCAATATGTCAAAATTATTTCAAATCTTGACTATTTAACCTTGTTAATGTGTTTAAATGCAAAATTTGTATGAAATATTACTCGTCTTTTTTCTTTGCTATGTACTCTTAAAGATGACAGTATATTGCCCTCAATTGCATTCAAAAAGTACTGGAAAAATATTTGAATCAGAGACTCAAAATTCCTTGACCTAGAATTTGTTTTTTGTATTCCTGTATGAACCCTGACTCACTTGTTAGTATACCTACACTTTATATCTGAAAAATAGCATTTGGAATGTCTGTAAGTGCTATTCACATAATATTGGCCATTCACCAGCAGGTTCGATCAAAAGATGATCAAAGTATTGTGGTAAATCTATAATTTTGTTATATTTCAGGTCGAGGCGGCAGCGATGGCTGTAAAGTTCCAATGAAGATAGACGCCATGCATGAGGTGGGTGTGATAAAGGTAGAGTGTGGGTCTCAGTTCTCAGTGGCTCTTACCTCTACTGGAGCAGTCTATACATGGTGAGTAGTCTGAGTTTCTTTTCAGCAATTTAAGTTGATCTGTTCATCATTATTGCTTTATTTTATTATGTTCCAAAGTGGCTTGCCATTTTCACATTTTTTAAACACTGGGCCCCTTTCCTCTTTGAGCAATTCTGTTGAGGTATACAATTCCATTTTCTTTGTTGCTTGAGATAAAGATTGGTCACAATAATCTCTTCTAAAAGGCATTTTCACTTAGTATACTCAATCTTCTTTAGTGAATATAATACAAGTTGCATCCATCATGGCCTGTCTTAATATACGTAATTATCATAGATTGATAGTGATTGATTTATATATTTTTAACTGTAACAGTATTTCCTTGAAAAATGCACTTAAATCCTGTTAATCCTGTTTAATACCTCTTCGAAATTGTCCCATTTAACTAGGGGTAAGGGAGATTACCACAGATTAGGGCATGGAACAGATGACCACGTGAGGCGTCCCAAGCGTGTGACAGCGATTCAGGGGAAGAATGTGGTTCACATCGCCTGTGGAAGTCTGCACTGCGTCTGCTGCACTGACACAGGTAGTCAAGAGAGTTTTTTTTTTCTCATAGGAAGTATAAGAAAATACAATTTGAAATGTAAAGTATTCAGGTGTTGTGCTTGTAAAATATAAAAATAGTTGAATTTCGTTTTAAGAAAAGGATTTGTTGTTTTATGTAAAAAAAATGTTGTTTTAAGAAATGATATTGTTTTTAAGAAAAAAAAATGTGCATGCACACCCACACACATAAACACAGTTTTGACACCATACAGGTGAGGTGTTCACATGGGGTGATAATGACGAGGGTCAGCTGGGAGACGGCACCACCAACGCCATCCAAAGACCCAGACTGGTGGCCGCCCTGCAGGGTAAGTTGTTGACGCCATGAATGCAGAGGTAGAATACATTTGAGGAGCTTATTAGACATATTAGTGAAGGCAGGTCAATAGGGGGTTCAGAAGGTTCAAACATACTGCACTTTTTGCTGTGAAAAGATCTACTTTGGTAAAATTTGCTCTAGGTACAAAAATGTTTCATGGTAAAAGGTTCGCTTCTACGGAAAACATCTCCCCTTCTCTCTGAAATTGCTGGCTATGAGCCTGGAAGGTGATATGTACTCTTGCCTTTTGAGTGTGTAACTGTGCCTACAGAGTTTTTCAGGAAATGATAAGTATGACTGTGACACTGGTAAGGCTGGTCAGTGATGGTTCAGATAAGCAGAAAAAAATAATACATGAATAAAACCTTTTAAAAATTGGGTTTAAGTTAAGAATTTTTTTCTATATTCATAGCAAAACATTCATTCATGATATGTTACTATCCTGATACACATTTTCTTTTTAACATACATTCTGCATTGACTGTTGTATTCTTTCTGTGTCTTCCAGGCAAAATGATCAACCGTGTCGCCTGTGGCTCTGCCCACACCTTGGCCTGGTCCACCAACAAGCCCATCCAAACCAGTCGTCTGCCCTCTGCCATACCCATGGAGTACAACCACCTCTCCAACATCCCCATACCCGTGCTGCGGAACCGTCTGGTGCTCCTGCATCACTTCTCGGACCTTTTCTGTCCGTCTATTCCGATGTTTGACCTGGAGGGGGCAGTGGAGGGACAGCAGAGAGGTCCACTCTTGGTGACTGATGCACTACGTGGTATACTGGTGTCGGCAGCCAAGGAGACGTCTTTCAGAAAGGTTGTTCAGGCGACCATGATAAGAGATCGTCAGCATGGCCCCGTGATTGAGCTGAACAGGATACAGGTGGTTATTTTTGCTGTACAAATATATGTTGCCTCATTTGAATGAATGGATTGTTATTTGATATCTAGTTGGAATTGAGAATCTGAACAATGCTTTTTTCTTTTACATCATATATTAAACTTGAAAAAGAGAAAGGGTTTTAATGTTTAATATAATATGTGAATTTTGTTTTTACAGTCATTGTGCATCTTCAGATATAAGTCTTCATTTGAATTTTGAATGCCCAATATATAATAGTAGTCTAATTTGTTAGAATCTAGTGAGTAATCATTGCATATTACTAGGGTATGTTGTCTGTGCTGTATACATTGTTTGGCTTACCTTTCAGGTGAAGCGGTCTAGAAGCAAAGGTGGTCTAGCAGGTCCAGATGGAACAAAGTCTGTGTTTGGCCAGATGTGCTCTAAGATAGCAGCATTTGGTCCAGACAGCCTGATGTTACCACACAGGGTGTGGAAGGTCAAGTTTGTAGGTAAGATATATGTTACCACACAGGGTGTGGAAGGTCAAATTTTTAGTTAGGATATATAGCAGGAAAAGTTATGAGATAATATTTTTATGATAGATATTTTTTTTCCAAACAACAGTAAATTCTTTGTCCATGTCACTGATAGTGGAAAATCATTTTTTCTGATTTATTCTAAAATATAAAGATCCAAGACCTGGACTTATGCAACTTGTGTATTTATTTATTTATTTATTTATTTATTTATTTATTATAGATATTTTAAATTATTTTCAGGTGAGAGTGTGGATGACTGTGGGGGTGGCTACAGTGAGTCTATCGCCGAGATGTGTGACGAGTTACAGAATGGTTCCACCCCAGTCATCATAGTGACCCCCAATGGCCGGGATGAGTCAGGGGCAAACAGGGACTGCTTCCTGCCCAACCCTACCTGCAAGTCTGCCCTCCATCAGAGCATGTTCAAGTTCCTAGGTAATATGTTAGTGTAGTCAGGTGTCTGTTTTTTCTTTTGCTTTCAGAGCAGTTTGGATTTCTGTGTAGAGTCATGATGAAGATGTGTGTTTAGAGCTCATCATTTTTATGTAAGAAAGTGATGATAATTAAGTTACTTTTACACCATTATATAAACATTGGGCTATTTAACAGAAAATTTATGTTACACTTTACATCTGTTAATATAATATTTAAAATGGAAAAAGAAACTAAAAGATTTATTCCAATTTTCAGTTAAATTTATTCAAAATAGTAATATTATTTGTTCTTCATATGATGATTTGAAGTGAGTACTAGTAGATGCATTGCTTAAAAAATACATCATAACTTGGGAAGCATGTTTCCTCTGTTGCAGGTATGTTGATAGGCATAGCTATCCGTACAGGCAGCCCTCTCAGTCTTAACCTGGCTGAGTGTGTGTGGAAACAGCTGGCTGGTATGCAGCTCAGTATTACTGACCTCCAGGAGGTGGACAAAGACTATGTGCCAGGTACAGGGGCGTGGCCAAATTTATTTTTCTTAATGTATTAATTTGTGTGGGTTAATCTGATTGTATTCAGCAAGAGTCCCCACAGAGTTGGCCAGATTTATGTGTGCATATCTGGTCAGATGTTTAAGCAAGTAAATATGAGCTTGTTCCCAATTAAACTATCGGTGTACGTAGATCAATCCAACTCCACAGGGACTCTCGCTGAATGCAATCAGATTGAGAAGTGAACATGCCTTCCTTCTCCTAGCATTTATCAGGATACAGAAAAGTTGGTGAATATAAGGGAACAATGGAAACGAGAGGAGATGTGTTAATCTGATTGCATTCAGCAAGAGTCCCCACAGAGTGCATGATTTTTATATTATAATTAAAATTCTCCTTAGGTCAAAGCCTTAGTTATAAATATGACTGTACTTATAGGCATTAAATTAACTTAATCTTTATTGGATTTCAGGTCTCATGTGTATCAAGGACATGAGCGAGGATGCTTTAAGCGCTGCTGATATGCCCTTCAGCACACCAAGTGCAGCGGGGCATGAAGTCCATCTGAAGAGCAAATTCTCCAAGATAACCACTGAGAACAGAAATGAATATGTGCGACTCGCTCTCAATTACAGGTTAGTGTTCTTGTCTGTGAAGTATGCCTTATCTAACTATATTGCAGAAGTTAAGGTAAATGTATTAAAATATCGTATGAACATTTTTCATACAGGGAAATGTAAAATGATTTTGTAATAAAAATATAGGATGCAAGTGTGTGGAACAGCACTGTCTTAATAGGCTCACAAAATTGTATTCAGTAAAGGATTTAACCTGGTATAAGGACACACTATGGGCTGTGACTGACACGCTGGTTTCACTTTCATTTTTAGATTGCACGAGTTTGATGACCAAATACACTGGATGAGAGAGGGTATAGCCAGGGTTATTCCTGTACCTCTTCTGTCTCTCTTCACTGGATATGAATTGGAGACCATGGTAAGTACAATAATAATAATAATTGCAATAATAATAATTATTATTATTATTTTTATTATTATTATGATAATAGTAATAATAATATTGTAGATGTCCACCATTAGTTGTTTGTACTGTTAGGCTTTAAGTTAATTGTTGTTTATTTCATGCTTATGCAGTGCAGTTTTTAGCGAAATTACTGATCTTTAAGCATTATTATACCTCTAACCTTTAGATTTTACCTCCCTGTTTTTCTTCAAATGGAAATTTGAGTTTGCAAAACCAAATCTGAAGCTCAGAATATGATGAGAACTGGAGAAATAAGTGGATATGAAGCCAAAAGATTTTGTTATTTAGTCATCTCAGTGAAGAGTACAGTCATAAAAGAAGTTACTTTTGATATAATTTTGATTTTTCTTTCCTTTACAGGTTTGTGGTAGCCCAGACATCCCTATCAACTTACTGAAGTCTGTGGCCACTTACAAAGGCATTGATGCAACAGCTCCTCTGATTCAGTGGTTCTGGGAGGTCATGGAGGAATTCACCAATCAGGAAAGGTCTTTGTTTCTACGTTTTGTCTGGGGAAGAACACGTCTGCCCAGAACTATTGCTGATTTCAGAGGAAGGGACTTTGTTCTCCAGGTATTTAAATTTTTTTTGGAAAAGTTTATTACCAAAGAACTTGAAATCAGTTTTTTTTAATTAAATGATTGGTGTGGAAATACAGTATCAGTATAACATTCTTTTTCACATGATGGATTGTGTGACATATACATGATTCATATTTATCCAATATATACCCATATACATGATCCATAAATTTATATATATATACTCTGAACATATTTATGGCCCATATATTCAATTTATACTCATATATACTTGAGGAATGAGCAGACTGCAAAATGAATCGAGATTTAAGCTCCTGTTACAGTAAATGTAATAAAGGCTGGTGGCCTTTCTTTTATGAAAATCCAACCATTTCTTTTGCAGGTCCTGGATAAGTACAGCCCTCCAGATCATTTCCTCCCAGAGAGCTACACCTGCTTCTTCCTCCTCAAACTCCCACGCTACTCCTGCAAGATAGTTCTAAGAGAGAAACTGAAGTATGCCATACATTTCTGTAAGTCTATAGACACGGACGATTACGCACGCGTCGCCCTGAGTGGAGACCCCATGGAAGACGACTCTACGGATGATGTGCAGTCCGATGATTTTGACAGTATGGATTCTGATGGAGACCTGGTGTACGGATCTGAGTGAATTATTTATTTTATGGGGCTACATATTTATATTTATATGGTCAAAAAACTATTTGTGAGTCTGAAGAAACGTTTTATCTGCTTCAGTATCACCAATGTGGATGGAGACACCTTAAGTATACATTTTAAGAAGAAAAAGGGCATCTTCATTGTTGTTATTATTATGATTATGGATATTATGTAAAAACTGTGTTGCATTTAATTATCTGTAGCACGAATGAAAAGAGGAAGCAGCCTGGATCCCCGTAGCAGAATTGAAGTAATGTGCCAGTATCAAAACATTTGAAACTTTAATGTGATATGTGTTGTACAGTGCTCTCTAATTTTGGGTAAAAAAGTGATGGCTGAACAGATACAGTCATCAAACTTTGGTCGAGATCATTTGTTTGATTTTATTAGCTTTTGTTGTAAAATGTTATGATATTTTTGTTATAGAAAAATGGATGTTTTGGTTCAGTAGTGAGTATATGTATTATTATTAGCTCTGCTAACTAAAGTATAAGTGGGTCCTCATGCTTCTAATTATGTATTGATACAAAAGTGACAAAATTTTGATTAGAGATTAATAAGTGCTGGGTAGTGATTTACATTATACTTAGATTTAAAGAATTTGATCTGACCATGTAATTCCTCTCTGGATTTTAAAAATTTCCATGGGTATTACAGTAATATGTGCCATACACATTTGCCTGTAAGTTGCCACAAAGCCGTGGACACTATGTAATACTAGACTTTTTCAGAGAGAACACTGTACCCTTATAACTGATGCATATTGATTAAAACTATCCTAGCACAGAATTAAGTTTAAAAAATGTCACCAGCCCATCTTTGTTCCATCCTCTAACTCAAAATTAGCACCATTGAACAGAAATAAATTAACAGCTCTCATCAGCACAATACTTTACAAAGTAAAAATATATAGATGGTCAAATAGCACCTTGTACTGAACAGCAGTAATGTGAAACAGTAGCCCCATGCCTCAATGGTATATGACCAGGCTCATTATCCATGCTACCTGTGGTTGTGTGTGTTTTTCCTAAGTGTTGTCCATTTGTGTGTGATACATGTACCTCATAATGTCAGTATTCTTTCTTTATTAATGCCATCTGACCACACCCTTGCAGTATTATGATTCTGATATGAAATGACATCATATCCTTGTATTTGTGTTATCCACAAATTCCCATAATGCTCAAAAGGCTTTCTGTAGTTCTGTTATTTAATTGGAAGCTATTGGCTGTAATTTATTTTTATCTGGGTTTTGTTCTTCATGGTTATGGCTGACTAGGGCATTATTGCAGGACACCTTTATTGCATTGTATTGTATAGGAGACATTCCTCTAATAGAATAAAGGGGATGCTCATTGAAGTGTAAAAACTTGCACAGATATTTTGGGGATTCTGTGCATGGAAAATGAAGGTTAAAATGCTTAAGCTGTGTAGTGGACTAAGTGACTGCATGTTGTGGTCAGTGTACACCCATGTAAACACGGTAATTGTAGGTCATATAGGTATAAAATATAGAATGCGCTACATGTACATTGGTTGCTTTTCTGACAGTAGCCTATACTAATTGATAAGCTATGTTTACCGGTACATGTACGATGTACATGGATTGAACATGTATATTCATTTTGATATTTAAAATGTGCTTAATATGTATATGATATTTGTACGTGTGTTGGAGTAATTGGTTTGCGGATGTCTGTAAAGTTGTGTAGATTGCTTCAGTTAAGTGGACATCCAGCAAGCTTATGGTACCTGTAGGGGCCCGTGTAAATGTATATAGCTGTTTAGCGTTGCTTTTGTGTTTGAAATCAAACTGATTAAAAGCAGTTATAAACTCATCCAGGCGTCTTATTTGCAGTTAATCTGAGATAGATTCTTTAATTGTATTCATTTAATATTTACTGTTTATTTGTTTTTATTTTTTTCTATATTATCTTTTTTTTTTGGGGGGGGGGGAGGTTAAATGAAATGCTTATATTTTGTTGAAAAGAAAGTGACCATTCTGCAATTGAATTGCCTTTGAGTGAAAATTCCAAATTCTGGTAATAGGACACAGTTGAAATACGATTATCAAAATTTAAAAAATTAATACATTTCATAAATATCGCAAACGTAATTTGCGCTGGTGTTTGAATTTGCACAACGGAAGCGAGGGCACAGTTTTCAACACGAAGTGCATTTGGTTCTCACAACATTGTAAAAGAGTTAAAATGCTCCATTTTCATTTAATGATCCAATAAGCGTCTGAGTAAGTTTTAGCGATGTAGCAATTTATTTAGATTAATATGGTTTAAAAACTAATGTTAAAACTAACTATGGGGCGTATTTCTGAGATTTGGTGAGGTTTAAGTTTCCCAATTTTGAAGAACAATTTGAAATAATTTCGTAATTCTTACTTTAAAATGTCATTGGAAACAAATTTGGTAGATCTGCTGTTTTTCTAAACTTTTTTTCTAAAACTATATTTTTACAGACAACTTAGATTTTCTGTCTATGTCCTTTCAACGCGTTATAAGTTAATACAAATATAGAATGTAGAACATTCACGAAAACCACTTTGTGTCAAGTTAGTCGCTGTAAGAAGAAATTTCATCAACGGTCGCTGGACCTGTGTAGGTGAGTCGGGGGATTGCCCTAGTCTGAAAAAAAGGGGCGTCGGATCGAGTCCCACCATGGGTCCACGCCGAATACCTTGTGCTACAAGAATACAACAAATGTGTACAGTCAGCGCGACTAGAAACCCCCTCCACACACACACACACTTTGCAAAACGAAGATGCTGGTAAGACGGCTGATTTCAATTATGATATCAAAGAACAGAACAATTTTTATGATCGTCAAAAAATAGATTTTATTATACTTCATCAGTTGGATAAGGCAAATGTAATGTTTTTAGTAATCTACACAATTCAAAATACTATGCCAACATAATGCTGTTAAAATTATATTTGAAGGGGGGCATAGAACAAAATAAAGCAAATCACCTTTATCAAAACCTTCTTACCTAGCTGTATCACAAAACAAAAACACGGGAAAGAACTGCAAACATAATCATCATGACTCACGTAAACGTACTTGTTTCAGCCAATATTATTTAATCAAGTCAAATTTTTAGCTAAATCGGTGATATAGTGTGGAATAAGCACTGGTAATCTCTTAGAAGAGATAATGACTTTCTGTCACCGGCTAAAAATGTATGGTTTTGTGAACCCAAATATTTATACTTTAACAGATTCGACATTTCATATATATTTCAATATATTAAAATATATATTTATGTATGTCTATCGACATTTCATACATAACCCCCTCTCTCTAAAGCACATTCTCGTGGTGATGAAATTCAATTTTAACACGTGGGTGCCTTCTAACACGATAAGACGGTCAAGGAAAGGACTCAGCGGTCACATGCAACCCGCCTCCCTTGGCTTCTGAGCTAACCCCCAGTCACCAACCTTTCGCTCCCAGAAAAAACATAAAAGCTTCCAGATAGTGGCTAACCTCCACCAAGGCAAATAATTAATTAATAATTCACCATTAATTAATGGATCGTTAGCAAATTCTAACCTTAAATTGATCCGTTTCTGACCTTTCTCGAAACTTTCTTCTAAAACCATCCACTTTTTGAGATAGACTGGTGACTGACAATCAGAGGTGCAAACATAATTGCTGGAGATAAAAACGGTGTAACAAGAGAATCGAGACCCAACCAAGGCAATTTTCCATTACAGCGCATTTCTCATCATGATAAAGTTGCCCTAGACTATAGTTTTTAAATAATTAAACCTTGTAAACGCAATTCAATGCCTTCAACTGAGATCACGAAAACATGTCGACTATTTTGACCCGCATCTTACTGAAAATCATGTGTAATACAATGTTTATCTGGGCAATGAGATCTCAGTGAAGAAAAAAACTGTAAGAGGGAGACATAGATATCTGTGCATCAACTTTAGTCCTGGTCATCTTATCCACTGAAATATATATATATATATATATATATATATATATATATATATATATATATATATATATATATTCTTTTTTTTAGTACGGGCCCGTCGTCTCTTGCGTTCCTTTGCCACTGGAAATATTTAAAAAATTGCCATTTAAGGAAGATTGTTTTATTCATTATCACCTTTAAAAAAATGTGATCATTTTCTGACTCGCACAACGTTGGTGTTATTTATACAGTCTCGANATATTGCAGAAAAAGTTTCAAGATAAAATTTTTATTATAGATATTTTTTCCAAACAATAATACATTCTTTGCCCATGTCATTGATAGTGAAAAATCATATTTTCTGATTTATTCTAAAATGTCCTAGACCTGGACTTATTCAACTTGTGTATTTATTTATTTATTTATTTATTTATTTATTTATTTATTTATTTATTTATTTGTCTAAACATAAATATTTATTGTTTATGCATATGTTTAATTAAATTATTAACAACTATTTTAAATTCTTTTTAGGTGAGAGTGTGGATGACTGTGGAGGTGGCTACAGCGAGTCTATAGCTGAGATGTGTGATGAGTTACAGAATGGCTCCACTCCAGTCATCATAGTGACCCCCAATGGCCGAGATGAGTCAGGGGCAAACAGGGACTGCTTCCTGCCCAACCCTACCTGCAAGTCTGCTCTCCATCAGAGCATGTTTAAGTTCCTAGGTAAGACGTTTGTGTGGTCAGGTGCCCGTTTTTCTTTTGCCTTCAGAGCAGTTTGGATATCTGTGTGAAGTCATGAAGATGTGTTTAGAGCCTGTCAGATTTATGTCAGATGATAATAAAGTTAATTTTACATTTTACAGGAAGTTCATGTTACAATTTTCATCTGTTAATACAATATTTAAAGCAAAAAAAAAGAAAAAAAACAATCTGAAAGATGTATTCCAGTTTTCAGTTACACTAGGCGTTATTGAAGAAAAGAATAAAAAAAATTATTGAAAATAATAATAATGTGTTCTCCATATGATTATTTGTTTAAAGTGAGTACATACATTACTTGACAAAAATACATCACCACTTGGGGAATTTTGTTTTCTCTGTTGCAGGCATGTTGATAGGCATAGCTATCCGTACAGGCAGCCCCCTTAGTCTGAACCTGGCCGAGTGTGTGTGGAAACAACTGGCTGGTATGCAGCTCAGTATTACTGACCTCCAGGAGGTGGACAAAGACTATGTGCCAGGTACAGTGGCGTGGCCAAATTATGTTTGTTAATTTATTAATTTGTTTGTGTTAATCTGATTGCATTCAGCAAGAGTCCCTTCAGAGTTGGCCAAATTTATGTGTGCATATCTGGTTGAATATTTAAGCTACTTAATATGAGCTCATTCCCAATGAAAATATCGGTCTACGTAGATCAGTCCAACTCCACAGGGACTCTTGCTGAATGCAATCAAGTTGAGAAGTGAACATGCCTTCTTCTAGCATTTAGTAGAATACAGAAAAGTTGGTGAATATATGGGAACAATGGAAACCAGAGGAGATGTGTTAATCTGTCAATCTGATTGCATTCTGCGAGAGTCCCCACAGAGTGCATGATTTGTATATTATAAATAAAATTCTTGTTAGGTCAAAGCCTTAGTAATAAATATGCCTGTACTTATAGGCATTAAATGTAATTTATCTTTATAAATTGATTACAGGTCTCATGTGTATCAAGGACATGAGTGAGGATGCTTTAAGCGCTGCTGATATGCCGTTTAGCACACCAAGTGCAGCGGGACATGAAGTCCATCTGAAGAGCAAATTCTCCAAGATAACCACCGAGAACAGAAATGAATATGTGCGACTCGCTCTCAATTACAGGTTAGTGTTCTTCTCAGCGAAGTATGCCTTACCTAGCTATAAAGCAGAAATTAACCTAATTGTATTAAAGTAATTGTATTATCATCTGTTATACAGGGTAATGTAAAAAATAATATATAGGGTACAAGAATGTGCGGAACAGCACTGTCCTAATATGCACATCAGATTGTATTAAGTAAAGGATTTAACCTGGTATAAGGACACACTTTGGGCTGTGACTGACACACTGGTTTCACTTTCATTTTTAGATTGCATGAGTTTGATGACCAAATACACTGGATGAGAGAGGGTATAGCCAGGGTTATACCCGTACCTCTTCTGTCTCTCTTCACTGGATATGAATTGGAGACCATGGTAAGTACAATAATAATAATAATATTTTAGATCTCCACAATTAGTTCTTTATATTGTGAGGCCTAAAGCTTATTTACTGGTTATTTCATGCTTCTGCAGTTCATTACTTATTGTAGAAAAATCATTTAACCTTAAACTTTAATTACTACACTTTTAAGCTTTAGATTTTAACTCCCCTTTTTCTTCAAATGGATATGTTCGATTCTCAGTTTAAACCAAATCTGAAGCTCCATATGACGAGAACTAGAGAAATAAAGTGGATATGAAGCCATAAGGTTGTTATCGGTATTTAGTCATCACAGTAAAGAGTACGGTTATAAAAGAAGTTACTTTTGATATAATTTTTGCATTTTTTTCCCTTAGGTTTGTGGTAGCCCAGACATTCCTATCAACTTACTGAAGTCTGTGGCCACTTACAAAGGCATCGATGCAACAGCTCCTCTGATTCAGTGGTTCTGGGAGGTCATGGAGGAATTCACCAATCAGGAAAGGTCTCTGTTTCTCCGTTTTGTCTGGGGAAGGACACGTCTGCCCAGAACTATAGCCGATTTCAGAGGAAGGGACTTTGTTCTCCAGGTATTTTAAATATTTTTTTTTTA